AGTGTTCAGCAAGTAATGAAACAGATCAATTGTAACAATCAGAACAAAAGTTAACCGTTTCCTTATTTACTGAACACTCAATATAAAAATACTGAGCGAATTATTTTATAAATTAATTAATTTCTACTATTGATTGTATTTAAGTTAAGGGACAGTAATGGTTTCATAACCCTATACTATATTGTTATACAATAGTAAGTCTACTGGTAATATTCAAGGGTTCTACGCAGTAAAAATAAAACAGAAACTTTACTATTATGTACCCTATGAACCTGTCAAAAAGTTATTAATAGTGACAGAATAACAACACATTTTGTAAACATATACACATATACTTATTTGGTACAAGGTGGAACTGGAAAATATGATTAATTTAAAAATGACTCATGATAACAACAAAAAAATTAATTTGAATGAACAATATTATTCTATTTGACTAGTGGGTTTAAGAATAATTGTGTAATATTAATTATTTTTATTCCAATTATTTTCACGCTTATTCATCTACTTACACATTTTTTGAACAATAAATCAATACAGACAGGTATCAAAATCATATTTAGTTATAATAATATAAGGAGTACATTTCTTAAGAATCGATACTTCCTAATTTTTATCATTAAACTTATTTAACAATTCTACTACACCAACAATTATTTTAATACTTATAATACCAAAGCTTTATTCGTGGTTTATAATAAACTCGTATAAATCAATGTAAAGTATTATTACTGCAGTCAATATAATTATATATGTATATTGTAATGCGATATATGTCTTTATTCTGTTGACCAACATAAAAGTAAACATTGAATAGTCATTTGAAAAACTGCATAAGATGCAAAATCAAAGTACATAAAAAAAAAAGTTTCTGAGACTTTAAATATTGGTTTATATATCTTGTAAAAATTTGAAAGGCTAATAAATAAAAAATGTTTTTTTCTTGAGTGTCCTATATGTAATATATAAGGTATAATATGTGGATATTAAAATATTTTGTGCTTGGCAGACCATAAAAATTATTTTAAAATAATAATAGAATGATTGGGCTTGAACATAACAAAAAGTTGAGTTGATTATTAGATGGTAGTATGTATACAATACGACAAAGTGGTCAGGAATAATGGTCAAGTATAGTGTGTCTGCGATTAGTTTTCAATGAAGATTCATTTTAGTATGCAAAAAAATAATCATCTCATCGATTTTATTAAAGGCGTGTTCATTTAATATTTAAATAAATACACTTTATTTAAGGTTGATTTATGCAAAGTAGTAAATTTTTAAATAGTTTTATATCAATTGTTGAATTATAAATACAAAATGTGTACAGTTCTAGAAAAATTATAAATTCATTATTGACTACCTTACGTCACGAAACAAAGCCATGAGCTCGGAAAATGGCAGCTACATAATTCAACTAAATAGGTCAAGTTTTCAACAGGTCACAGTAATAACTAAAACTTTAGTTCTTACTATTAAGTTTTGTATATATATACATATACAGAGTGATTAATTTTCCATGAAATAATAATTAATTAAAAAATAAAAATAATATTGAGAATTTTTTATTTGGTAGCTGCAACGTACATGTTTTTCTCAATTTATCAATCATGAAATATTTTATTTTATTCATCCCTTGTGACACTCCTATGAGTGTCAACCTAATTTTTTTAAATGACAATATACATATTAAACTAGCTTATAAAAAAGAATATGATGTAAATAAGAAAATGATTGGTCAATAACAACTTTTGCATTATTATTTCGGAAGTAATTGACATTTTAAAATATATACTGGAGGCAAAACGTGGATGTTATTTTTATTACTAATCATTTCCCGACTGAAATCTTCCTCCCATCTAAGTATAAAAATATCAATGACTTCCAACAACTGGTTCAAAAATTGTTATTGACCTGTTATTTTCTTAATTAGATCATTTTCTTTTTATAAGCTAGTTAAATACGTATGTTTCCATTAAAAAATAAAATTAACAACCCTATAAGTTATATGGGATGATTCTAAAAAGTAATTATTAGATGATAAATCAAGAAATATTTGCAACTAAAAATAAGCAATTTTTTTTAATATTGCATTTATTTCGAAAGTAATCTAGTAGTTTATGATAAACCGATCACCTTGTATATGCTTTGCATGAAACTAATTGTATCAAGAGATAATTTAAATCGTCTCATTAAATTACTAAAAACAGTCAACCATTGCTGGTTATAAAAATATTACTAGTATATAATCGATTTTAACTCCTGTAAAAATTAAGCTGTTACTATTATTTATTTTACGTTTCAATTTATATTGTAGGAACTCTATTACTAACTTTAGAAAAATAGTAAATTATATAACCTTAACTTTAAAATTCAATGGCACTAATTTTTTCTAATTTTTCTATTTGCTAAAGTTCGTGGTTTTGTTATAAATGAATCTCAATTGTAAAATAATGTCTATTAGTTGTAATCAATCATTTTATTTGACAACTTAATGAGCCTATTATTTTGACATTTGACTTTCTGTATTTGATTTATCAAATTTGCTATCAGTATACAGTAGCAAATATTACAATTGATTAATAAAAATTATATTGTTGGCATTTATAATTAATATGTATTTTTTATTCGCATCATCGAAATCAATGTATTTTTTAACAATTTTTCACCAAGTGACAAAAATATGGGTTTTCAACATCAATAGTCAAACATAATAAAGTAGAATTTTTTTTTTATATTTGTGTTTTACTCAGCTATTAAGGAAATGGTCAATATAGATTCACTAGATGACATTCGTTTCGTCTATTTTACTAGCTTAAAAAATGTACTGATTAAAACACAGAACCAAGGACGCCCGCAGATAATTTTCTCATGGGATGCAAAATTAATATCAACAGTTTAAGCTATGGAGGCAATTCTCCAAAATCTGTGGTCTAGAGAGTCCTCTCTTCCAAAATTCATACGACAACTTAGTTATTTATTTAAAATAGTACTTTTAGAAAGATTATGAGCAAGAAAAAGAAAGTCATAAATAAATACATATTACAAAATTTTATTTGAATTAAAAAGAATTGTCGAACCTTTCCCATTAAAATTTGAACTTAATACATCCCTAATTCTTCTTTCTCTCCCTCGTCTTTATTCCAATTATTTGAAGTTTGTCATCCGTATTCTAAATCTCCACGTAACACAGTCTCCCACATCATCTATACACCAGCAGTCATCATATCTCCTCCAACAACATCCAATCGCCTTTTTTCCGTTCTTACAGCTTCCGAGATTTCTCTCTTCTCATCGTAAGCTTATTTCCCCTCATCTTATCTATGATCAACGTTACTGTCATGTTTCCTCCTGCATATTCATTCCTTATCATACATTCTCTCGTCATTTCTCTTATCCATCTAAACATTCTCATCTGTGTTACCCTCATTCTCTACTCTAATTTCTCGTCAACACAACCCAACCAGCCTATATGTGTGTGTGTGTGTGTGTGTGATTTAGGTATACAAATTACATAATATCTCCGTTACTAGGACATTAAAAACTTTATTATTAATATTTTTTACTTTTTGGAATACCTAATTCTAAAATTAACAGACAACACATTTTACTTCTCTTGTATACGTATCGTATGAAGTCGACCTGTCTCCCATAAATAATGTTCCTAGATTTTAGAATTCTATTAGTATCAGTAGCTGCAAAATTTATTTTACTTTGACAAAAACTCAAATGGAAATTCACAGATTTAGTAACTAGGGTGGGTACAAGAGCATTTCCTGCCTCTCCCTCCACTAACGATACTGTATAGTACTTCAACATAATTCAGACAAAAATTTTAATTGATTTTCTTTTTTAAGAAGCTTAAAATATGCATTGTTTTATGTGAATCTACAAATAATATAAATATTGATTTTAATTCTCTCGGTGATCTATTATGTTTTTTTTTGTTTTAAAATCGTGTTTGTCGCGTATTTTTTATTCACTTGTATATACTAACGGATGTTCTTATGAATTCCACATAAAAAATATTTATAACTTCACGCCCTTCTTAGAGTACCATTACGAAATAGTAGCATAATGTATTGATGTAACCAATTATAGTACATACAAATGTCTGATATATGTCGCATGCTTACTCTAATAATGCAACAATATACATAATACAAGTTCTACCAAATTATAAAAGCTTCACGGATCAAGTTATCTTTGTATACAATTATTATTAGTTACGATACATTACATTATTATTTCCTTATAATTGTAATTGTTTTTTTAAAAGATAGAAGTTGTCATAAGACAAAAAGGGTTGTATTGGCTTAAAAGACGGTTGTATTTGAAAAAAAAATTTTATAGACTGTTAAAAATAATTTCATTAAATATTATTTATAATGCCTATTAATGGTGTCTCATTAACGTTTTTTTCTATTTTTATTATTTTTTTTTTTTTTCATCAAAATTATGTTGATAAATTATATTTACGCGTGTATACTTTTTGGTATAAATATGTATTTACTAATTTGTAGGAGTTGATAGAACGAAATAAAAGATAAAAAAGATTAGGAAAACAGTCTCAGAATTCGAGGTCACGGACATCTGTTATGTCAAGCAGTGGTAAATGTTGAAAAAATTGGCAAAGATTACTTAAGTGAAATTAACCAAAACATTCATTTGTAAAATTTAACTTGTTCCATAATATCCCATATAAAATAAACACCAATTTGTCTTTTTTTTCTAACAATGCCGTCTAGTGTGATCTCTAAAAAAATTACAATTTAAAAAGTAAATAATTAGTTAAATATTTTTTTTCTACAAGAAGATTGCCTTTAAAGAAGTTTACTCACTCATATATTTTTTAGCACGAATCTTCCAATAGTATTTATGTAAACTTTTCAATTAGATTGAAATGTCACGAGACGTAAAAAATTACCTCTCACGTATCATTAAATTGTAATTATAAAAATGATGGTTCATTAACCACATGTTATTTTTATTCATTTCAGTTCGTTCTTTGTTTGATGATAGCAAAACGGTGGTGAGAAGATTGTATCGCCGTACGTATTATGCTGTCCTACATGGCTCCGTCATTAAGTGACAAACCACCAACAGTACCAACACGACTAACACTGGAACAGAAGACATCGGCGTATCATAGGTTCAGTAGACCACCATCCATAACTTTCAACGATGGCCATCGAGAGGGTTTCGGCGCATTACCTGCACCCATCAAGAGCAATATGGTGAAAGAAGACAGTACTAATAGTATAGCATCAAGTGTCGATCTCCTGTCTACGACACATGATGGCAAACGACTGACCGCCAAGCCAGCTACGCTAAAAAGGTAATTATTTTAGGTTTTCATTACACTAACACTTGAAATAAAGTTTTAAAATTACAATGAAATGTTTTCAAAAAACATGTTAAACAGTAATTTTCCTCCAAATTAAAATAAAAATAATATTTTTATACACATTTTGGAGTGGTGTTTCATCTAATTATTTATTATCAGAATTTGAAATTTTAACCAATCTATGCTAAATAAATTTCAATAATCATAATGTTTTATGATGGCTTAAAACACTTTACAATATCTAAAAAAGACAGAACTTTAATTAATCTACAATACGAGTCGAAAATAAAATGCAATACAGGAAGGAACTTAAAAATATAAAATGAAATACAAATGAGTAACTTTGATATAAATAAAAATTTATGCAGAAATGATTTAAATAAACTTTAAATTTGTTTTTACATTGGAGAAAAAATGTTGTAAAATGTTAATTTTTATAAGATCCTGAAGCTTATTTTCATTATTATTAGTGTTCGTGAAAGTTTACTGAAGTGTCTTATCTATACTCGATTTTATTACTTGGCTTAAAAAAATCTTGTGTGCAAGACATTTTATGTGCTATGTTACAACTATAAACAATTATAAGTGCTATTAATTTTTAAGTCTACTAAAAAGTATATAAAATGGGATATTTTATATTGTCTTGACTTTTTTCCAATTTTTAACATATGTTCTAGTAAAGAAAATTCCAGCATTAAAACACATAACTATACAATACCTGTAATTTGTTTAACTATTTATCAGTTGTGTTACACATACAGTTATGTACAACATATCATCATGTTTTTATGATACAATATCTATTTAGAGTAATAGTTAAAAAGACTAAAATATTTCAGCTATCAAAAATAACTCTTATTTAAGAAAACAGATGGTCACTATTTTATATATAAAATAGTAGCCATCTGTCCTCTCAAATATATGTATTTGAGAGGATAAATAATAAACATATTCATTTGATAGAACATAAAAAACAAATTATTATTGCATAAAATGGTCTAGTTAATTTAAATGAACAAATTGAAGGTTGATGTATACGTTTAACAAGCTAATAAAATAATTTATCTTCCAACTAAATGCAAGATGTAATAAAAGACGCCTATAATGTAGTTAAGGGATCTATAATATATAGCAGACTATTGGTGATAAATTAATCCCGTTTAAAAGGAATAAATGTTTAGGGGTGGTTTTTGCTGTAATCTTTAATTAGAAAACTTCTGTTAGGGTAAATAAATTATTTTTTGTTGGCATTAAACAAAGGAGTTTTATTTAGAAATAAACGAGTGATACAATAAAAGATTTTTTTTGTATTAAAATTTTTAATATGTTAAAAATTAACCTAACTGTTTTGGACATAACTAATTGGTACGCAAAATCAATAAAGTAATGGAGCATAATTGTTATTTTTAATTACCAAGTATTAAAACGTCTAAATTATTCAATTTTAATGTGTATTTGATAGTTAAATTGGCGAGGGATCGACCTTTTGGTTTATAAATAGAGAATATGAATAATTTTCATTTAGAGTTTGTATTTCTAAGTGAATATCAAATATTTATGCTAAACGATTTAATATAAAATATTAAATTTAACAATAACGACAAAAATTGCAACATTTTCTTATACTAAATCTACTTTTTTTATTTCTATAAAAACATTCAATTCTTGTTATTGTCATTCTAATTTTTATAACTTTTGTTTTCTTTTTATTTCTACAAAGTCCATTGTTCTACTTTAACAAAAAAAATAGTGATGGGAAATATCGAATAGTAACTATCGAACTATTCGATAGCCATTCAAAATCTATTCGAATAGTAAAAATATTCGATAGTTACACAATATATTCGAATAGTTTTTAAAATATTTGATAGTTTATGCTAAAAATAAAATATTCGGTGGTATTAACACAATTCAAATAGCTATTTGATAGTTAAAAATATTTGAAAATGCCCATCACCAAAAAAAACCTATGAATTATAATTTTTAATTTGAAGATTCGAGGGTATAATTATATTTAAGTAAATATTTTAAATAATATAAGGAAACACAATTTGTGATCTTATTTTTTTAGTTCAGACTACATTTTATTCGACTAAAAGATGAGATTAAAATAACGGTTTATAAAAATATTCTCGTATAAATTTTTTACTTCATCAAGTGAAATAAAAAGATTTTCTTTGAAAAATGTTAAAGTATAAATATTTAACGTATAGTTTAAGCTGAAATACGTTAAAATTTTATTTAAAAAAATCTTATAATTAACACAAAAATTCAAAAATATTTTTTTAACGTCAACTTAATATTTTGAGCTATTTATTGAATAGCTTCTATATATTTAAATAGCAAAAATACAATTTTACAAGTTAAACGTTTCATAGTATCACTGTTCAAAAATCTTTTTAAAACCTATCTAATATTTACCACATTACACTGAGTGCTAAAATTTGCATATTTACGTAGCAATATTAATGTTGCACTACAATGATGTATTTTTGCGTCGTTTTTTAAGCAGACTTCCCACGCTGATGTTCATCGCCCACTCGGTACGTCACCAAATGGCTATGGCAAATTTATTTTAAACCCATCGCCCCATATATCCGGCAGGGATCTTGAATACGACCATCAACTAATTTACACGCATGTTCAAAAAAACACTGTCGCCAAGTTAACGATATAATATAGTTCATGAATAATACAACACAAACAGCTCCTAAGTATCAATATTACGGCGCTAAAATATTCAAACGTTTTTTTTGTCATCGTGTCACTGTCGTTCTCGTGAATGAGTTTCAATTGTACACACACAAGTGAGTGATGTATGTTGATTGGGATCTCTGTCGTCATTCTCGTAGTGAATCTGAATAGCCAGATTGTATGAAAGACTATATGTCACTTTTAAACGTTTAAAACAATTAATGACCTTGACATGACACTTTTTAGGATTTAATTTACTGAGTACAACAGTACTCACGAGTAGGTCGTTAGTGAAAATTTATGGACTAAGGTTTGAGTTTTATACCTAATAATTTTATGTTGCCCTTCAAAAAATCAAGTTAGTTCTATCTTAGTTAAGAATTTTTAATATTTTGTGAATCATGAACACGTTTTTCGGTTGATTTTGAATTGAACAGATTTTTGTTGATAATTAAATTACTAATGTTTCATTAACTCTTAACTACTTTTAAGTATTATTAAATTTTCTTCGAGTAAATTTATTGTAGTATCATTTTTTCAATTTATGTTTTTTAATAATTTACTTAATATAAAAATATTATGACTATGAATAAATACAAAGCTTTAAATTAAAATTCGTGCGTTTGTTATATACACCATATAGAATAGGTTTGATAATTCCTGTAGTAACGTTGAAAAACATTTAACGACTGATAAGTTGAAAGTATTTTATACTAAAATAATCAATTAATCCATAGTTCGGTTATTTACATAAGTAAGAATTTTGCTAAGCGTTTAAAATCACTTAGCTCGTGTAATCAGTTTGATAATAAATGTAATAATATCTTAAATATACATTAACAAATCTATGCATGATCACTAAGTTAATTGTTAATGTCAGATTTTATATTTTTAAATATTCCATTCCGTATTAATTAACTTATTAATTTTAATTAATCAATAATTATTTTTTTAACCTTTTGACATATAATCTAAGGTGAATCAAAAAACTTTTTAAAGTTTTACTTCAATTTTTTTATCAAAATTCTTCAAATTAACGTAGTATGTGTTTTACGCTGTAATTAATATATTAAAACAAAACCACAGTTGACAATTAAAAATATTTAATGAATAATTATTACCTAATCGAAAAATAATAATTACAGTGTTTCTGTTACTTGTTAAACTTCTTTTTGGTAAAGTAATAAACAAACCCAAAAAAAACAATTTTTATATTTATTTATACATATATACATATATATATATATATTATTTATAAGTATTATTTTATTTAACTTATCTTAAAAACAATAGTTTCCTCAAACTTAGAATTACATTATTGAACAACATGCTATTTCTTGATACGCAGTGTGTATTTGTATAAAAGTTGGTTGAAGGTCACACATTGTTTTGACGAAATATTTGTCATATTATTGACTACTTATGATTTTGCATAAGAAATCTAACAAGAGAAAAGCTGCAAGATAATAAAATTAATGTCACTAGTTAAAAGTGTATACTAATACATTTATTTGTATTTAGTTACACCTATTGTCCTTATGTTAACGTTTCAAGTGAATGCTATTAAAATTAATGTGCCTGAATAATATAATTGTAAAAAGAATATACATACGCCTTCGAGTATTTAATTTGAGAAACATTGCACGCTAAATTTTCACTGTTAATGTTGTTGTGTATTAACTTCAATTTTTTTCTGATATTGAATCAACAAATTATTTAACAAAATGTTATAATATCATTATATTCTATCGAATATCCATACCGTTATGGAAGGTACTTGAACATTTTACTTTGTAATCTAAGATTTTTAGAAGATATCCGGTTTTCATTCGTTGGCTCTAATAGACATCAAAATAATTTTTCCCTCGCATCAGTGTTAAATATATTTTTTGGGTCAAATTATTATTACTATCTATCACGAATATCCATGACCGGTCATGATAAGAAAAAATCAGCCACGCCCCAGTTCTTTAGAATTCCAACAAGTTATCAATCTTGCCTTTATTTTTTACTAACGTCAGTTTATTATTTACTAACTATTTGACCATTGTTTTTATATATAAATATTTTTATCGATATTATTTGTTGTAATACAGAGGTCATACAGACAAATATTTCAATTAATAATATATTTTTACAAATAATTGTGTTTAGAACAATTTAGTTATTTGTGTAATCATTTATTTTCAGGGTTTCTTTTGGCAGTTCAAAAGGTTCTATGGTAGAAACTTTAATATACGATAGTCCTCCTGTACAAGAAGAAGTGCTTGATCACAGTGATCCCGACGATACTGATGGGTAAGTAGATTTATTTAATGCTTAAATCTTGGAACACGTATATTAAATCATAAAAAAAAGTCTCCTAATTATATAAACAATTATTATGATATTAGATGCAATGTGTTTAAATAATATTCTACTTTCATCTTCCATTGACAATACATTAAAAATATTGACTATTGTCAATGAAACTTACAAAATTAATTAAATTTGTGTTGAATCAAATTTATTTTATTTATTGACTAAAATAGTTTTAGATAATAAAATAAAAAGTTTAATAAATTACAAGAAAAGTTATAATAAAACATCCATTAATAATATTTTATTAAGAAATAATATATTTAATACATATTTATTAAAAAAAAAAATGCTAAATTATTATTAATTTTTTATAATTTTATACTGGGATATATATTTAAAACAAAAAAAAGTTTTTGATTGGCTTTTTAATAAGTGAACTGTTTTATTTATCTTGATAAATTTTTTTAATGAAAAATAAATTACGTCATTTATTATGAGCTAATGTATTATTAAATTATACGTTACACTGGAATACATTAGCAATTTGTTGTATTTATTTGACTTAGTGTACAGTGAAACATTTATTTTGATCAGTTTTATAAGTATATTCGTTAGCTCATTGCTACGATATTTACCATATTTTTTATGTACAATAATAATGATGTCTTTTAATTTTTTTTTGTTAAAAATGAAAATTTATTTATTATAAAGTAGCATTAATTGTTAACTCCATCATGGTTCAAAATAGTTTAACTATGATTAATACGTACAATGATTGGTTTTTAAGATCTAATTAGGAAAATATTTTTTTTAATTGCTATGCACTTAACATATCTGACAATAAACATATATATAGTATTTATCAGGTATTTACATTATTAATTCTTTAAAATCATCGAAATTCAACCATAAGTATGCATTTTTAAGTGAAAATGCTTTTATTTGTTTATATTTTTTTAAATTGAAAAAATATATGTAATTATATATCATATATTAGTATTGTGATTTTAAGGTAGTATAATAAAAGCATATTTTTATGTATAAGATTTATAAATTGAAATATATTATTCCAAATTCAGAGTTAGTTAATGAATATTTAATGTGCCTTTAAATTCCGAATACCTTAAGCTATTGACAAAAATCTTAGTAGTAGCTAAATTTATCATTGTTCTTCTCCCATTTTTTGTGCAGTTATAAATTGTTTTTTATCTTCATTTTAATATCATTTTTTTAACTTCAAATTAATCGGTCGTATGAGAAGCGGTAGATGCATTGTTCTATTTCAAGGAATGAACCTGTGTCCTAAAAAACAATAATTACAATAATAGATTAGATAAATACAAACATAGCGTGTCAAAATATTATTATATTTTTTTTTATTCTAACTTTATCGATTTCTATATGATATTGTGTCATGACACAAAATGTTTGACTAGCGAATATGTACTGATGGCAGCACTGTAGTGAACGTGGCAAATATTCTTGCTCACCCCACGCTGGTCCGCGATCCCTCAACAATACTCTCTCTCCAGTACACTGTACCGTTTTGTTCGTACGCCGTCACAATTCTATGAAATCTATTCTTCGTAGTATTACGTGTATACATTAAGATTATAAAACTATATAACGATCTAACATTTGTGTTGTTCGCTATCTACGTTTCTGTAACTATTTTATAAACTTTTTTTACATAATTCTAATTTATCACACTATCGTAGTATGTTATAGAATCTATTCCTATACAATGGTTAAAAAATAATTTTCGTATCCCGAATCAATTTACGTACTGCACTATTCATATCTAAAATAATAGCGTTCGCTACTGGTTGAAAATTGGTAAGTTTTCTTTGTATATTGTTATCTTTATTGCTTTTGATAGGATTTTGAATAGTTACCGTAGTAGACACACCGCCGTCATCAGCTGTCCAGTTAACACCTAACATTTGGTGCGTTCTCAATGACTACCATCTAGTGTATGATGTCATCGCTAAACCGGTTCCCTCGGGTCAATTTCTTCTACACAGGTGGTGGATCTGTAATTTTAGTTGGCATAACCAAACATACGATTATCTTTTAAAATTTGTATGTAATAAAAATATGATACAATTTTTTAGAGGGATGCTGCAATATTTTCAATTGTAATAATAATGTTAATCAATTCATGTATGTTTAAATGTTGTAATGAAGTATTATTATTAACAAAAAATTCGTACCATTCTCCGCCCTAGACCTAATTAATTGATCTAAGTAAGCATAGAAATATTAGAATAGTGTTACTTTGTTTAACTTACGTCATTCTCCGACTGATAAAAACTTCTTATCACGAAATAGACTTATCGAAATTAGATTTTGGCGCGTAAACAACGTATAGGATCACCGTGTTTTCGTAAGCTTTTGATATCATTATATATTCATATCATGTTTAACAGTAACAAAATCTGCACAAGGTCAAATTCCTCGACTAGCCTCGTTTTTTTTATTGTTATTTACAGCCTATCGTTGTTTGAGCTTTGTTAATAATTAACCTCTAGCAATTGTGGCAGTCGAAATGATCAGCTTAACAATTAGTTCGTTTTAAACAACCAACTGCCGTTACTATCGCAATTGTTGTCTAATGGTTTAGCTCCATTACTTTTTTTTAGTATCTCTTAATTTATATTAAAATAATCGATTTAAAATTGAATATTTTCAACTAAAGTATCAAATTGTGATTTTGTAATTTTATTTAATTAACATTTGTTTCAAAACATATTAATTTAGTAGTTTATCTATAAGCTTAAATTTGTATATAAATATATATATATATATATTTTTAAAATCTTTTAATAGAGTGGCTACGGCAAATTTTTAGGTATAAATCTCTACCCTTGATTTATGCTCATACGTTTAGCTATTATAAGTTATTTATGTTATTCCAATAAGGGCATGGTTAAATTATATCAATTCTATAACTCTGGAGCCATCTGTTTGTGATATGTCTTAATGTATTGGGACCTTGAGGAAATTTGTATGGGTAATTTTTGGATAGAAACCAACTTGGAATCAGTCCATTCGAGTTTTTTTTCAAATAGTGTTTATTTTCACATTTCCACCGAACGTCATCTGGAGTGAAGCGCGCAAGTCTGGAGTTAAAATTAGAAATGCAAATAGGTCAAACTTCATGTAATTTAGTTATTATTGAAAATCTTTTAACTACTAGTCTAAACGGTTTGTGTTTGATTTCAGAACCGTCGCGTCTACTAAAGTACGAGTAAGTTTTTTTGAATCAGAAAGACCTTCTTGGATACCATCGCCGCCAAAATCGTTAGAAGTATTTGGCGATACCACAATGACCACATCTAGTCCGATTCTTCAACGGTCAAACGGACAACTTCAAACTCAAATAAGGTATGTACATGTAAGATAAGTAAATAATTATTATTATTTAAAAAAAATTGATAGACTGTTTGAAATTCGGTGGAATATACAAATTAATTCAGTCATGTTATTTTGTTATCGCATGAACTGTTATCTTGGATCAAGACGACAATGTGTTATGAACACAAACTCAGCCTTACAATGTTGTTACTATTAGAACAATTATTATGTGTACCACGTAAATTCGTAAAGCTATTTTGCTTGAGTTACTATTGTCCAGATGGTTGAACGACCCTTCTATTAGGCCCCGACAGCAATCGCATACGTGAGAAGTGATCGTCCAGTCGTTTATTTATACTGGTTGGCTGCAGACGTTATCGTTTTAGTGTAGTGGCACTTAACGCCCAGGACACAGCGTAACAGATACGCTTTGATAGGATTCCATATTATTAACAGTCGAGGACGTTGAAATGTAACCTCCAAATAATAATTCTTCTGGTCTACCAAACTCCGTAAAGAAAACATACTAAACATGGAAAATAATCAACGAAAAATATAATCGAACGAATTGATAAGCATTGCTACCACATACATTTTTAGGTGCATTTCAATTGCGAAACAATCAATACCTCGCTGTCAAGTATTTCTTTACTCGGTGAAATTCGCCTTTTAGGGTATTCATCGAGTATTTGCTTTGAAAACTGGTACTGTTAACAGAATATGAATTTTACGCCTGATATATTACGTTATCTCGTTCTAGTTTGAAGACGAATGCTGCGTAACGTCTACATTGTGTAATTATTATAATAGAGAAGTATATGCAGAGCAACTAGTATAGACAGTTGGCAATTATACAATCTATTGTTTATAGAATGGTGTGCATCACTCCGAGTAGTCATTACAGAAAATATTCTTTAACTTCGCGCTATGGGTCAATAGAGCAATTGGAATTATAATTACAATAAAAGATTTTCCGTATGTTATATTTGATGTTGACCCTGAAATGACTAAAGTATTTCGTTCGTCACTTTTGTTTATGACACTAAAATAACTATTGTTTTTAATGTATTACACTACATATTGTTTACTGTGAAATCACTTAACTTGCAATACACGAAAAACTGTCAATAAATGTGTCGATACATTATTTTTTACAATGTATGAAAGAGCTAAGAGCTTTTAAAAATTCCATTCGTTTCAGAACAGAAATCATTATCTTAATAATTGAAACTATTAAAAGTAATCAATGTACAATTTATTACTTTGGTACATCAATTTTTTGCACTTCTCAAAGCTATTCTATGGCCTCCTCATACCGTCGAGTACCGCCACCGAGACGCCACGCAGCGTCTGCGATTACGTCACCTGTTCACTATATTTCATTTGTAATGTGTGTACTATACGAGTACAGAATGTAAGTAGCCGGGCGGCCACAATCGATAACCTTCGCTACTGCGGGGGAGAGTATCAGCGGTAGAAAGCAGACAGAATCATGCGCACATAGTCTATTATCGATATCTGCCGTGTGTACAACGCGATACTATCGATTGTTACGGTGCACAGTATCTGCAGTCAACGATAAGGAAGGGGATCGCGCCGCCGAATGCGGTTAGGCTCGCCAGTTTACTGTTCCTTTCGTTACCGCCGCGACGATTGCCGTTTTCGACTTGCGGTACTCCATTCTTATATGTTGTTATAATCGCCTATTTTAAAACCGCCGGGCTGAAAAACTTGTATACAACCCAGGCCTTTGGATTATGCCAACGAGTATGACCGCTTCTCATGGCGGTGTGTTGTATTATGTGGTCAAGGTACCAAAAGACGACGCATCCTTGGATTACGTTTCAGCCACAGCTTCACACAAATACCTGGAAGAAAAGCGCACCTTATCGCCTTTAAACTTAGAGTGAGACTACACTACGACTTAATGATTTCTTTGCAAAGTCAATTACCTATGATATACGTTTCATTGATGTTAGACATTTTAATAATAACTAATTCAATAAATAACAAAACCGCATGAACATACACACAATTTTTGTATAAAGTCTTATTTTCATTAATTTCCCAACATAAAAAATCAGCTTCATACGTGCTATTTCATGTTTAATGTTTGAGATCATTTTGCGGTCAAAAGTGCTCCGAATATTTCTTCAGTCACGTCAAATTAAACCGCTTAACTACTTCGTTACGGTTTGGTGATAATCGAAATCGACGTCTACAATTGTTGAATTATTCTTGTGAACAAAGAAAACGTAACTCCACTTCAATTTTTTTCATTAAATTGCACATTTAAAACATGTTTTATGTTAACGAACTTAAGATTTAATTATTATAAAAGCAATAAATGACTACCGCCCGTTTAAAAATTTCATAAGAACATTACATTTAATACCGTCGAGTTATCTAGTCGTATAAATAAACTCGATAGTATGTAATTATAAGAAAATCATTTTGGTAACATACAATCTATCTTCAAATAATGCTAAATTGTTAAGACTCTTGTACTTTAAAAACCTATTTATCGTTTTGGATATTTTCCAATACTTGGTTTGATCTATACGAAAACTAATACAACTCTCCGTTTTTAACTATAGTTAATTTTCATCGCTGTTATTTTGTAATTATTGTCGTTTAAAAAACATTCGTGACATACCATTAATGATATTACAAAGCGTTTTTAACTAAATAATAAATTGTTTTTTCGAAAACTGTGTAAGATGATCGATGATGACTACGCGGGTGAGACCTTTTGGCCTGTTAGGAATTAAACTATATTGTTTCGAATGTCAGACAACCACACCTTCTTAAAGGTCAGCTAAAAATTAACACAATATCTTGATATTCTAAGATATTTAAATTTAGGCAATAGAAAATTGTTTTTTGTAGATAGTTGAATTTCTATTTTTTTTTTATAAGAATACTAGAATCTGTTAATAACACAAAAACAAAGTAGCTTTGTTCAACAAATATAAATAAATAATAAATAAGTGAATGGGAAAATCGTACAGCAACAGAACCTTAGTTAAAGGTTTATTATTTTATAGTCTTAATATTTTAATCAATATTTTTAACTACTTCATTTTTTTTTTTACAAAAAAATAATGATTTTATCTAAATTTTTATTGAATTGAGTATATTTTTATGTGAGATAATTTCATAATAAAGTTGTACCGTTCGAAACATTCCATAAAACTACTACACGAAAAGTAATTGAATACCTAAATCACTCCCTAATATAAACCGTTCATTCGAAATCCCAACGCCTATAAAAATCTCTATTCAATCATGTAAGTTATACTAAATTGCATTTTTGTAGCGCATCATTGTCAGTTAGATAATTACGAACTGCGTGTCTAGTGTCGAGTACTACATGAACATTATTATTAGCGAGCGCATGAGATTTTCCATTGACAAAATCACGGTTCGGTGAACCAGCAATGAGCTGTGAACCGACTGAATCTCTTTTTCTGTCTGATGTAACTGATGAAAGTTTGAATCATAGCAATTCCAACACCCATATCGTTCTCGCTTTCCCTAATGCTTTTCCGATTGATATTACGTCTATAGGGTATAACAATAATAAAGAAAATCCTAATGAAATATCAAATTAGGATTAATTTCCTAATTATTGTACAGCATAGATACAATGTGTTATTTTTCGTTGATGTACGCTCAACATGAATACTTAAAAAATATATTTTTTTTAGTTCGGACGGTTGGGATAATCCTTTCAGGCCCGACGGTGACTTATCGAAAGAAGCTGACCAAATAGTAGAACTTATCAAAGAAGGAAAACCAATCACACCAACACCCACTAATACTACATCACCACTATTGCCTAATCAACCTGCAAAACACGAACAACTAGTAACATCCACGCCGACTAAATCAAACGGTACACGTAGTGAAAAAAATGCGGTACCGCCCAACGTGGAAGTCCAAAGAGGTAATTATCTAATCTCCGACCTATTTATTGCCATAAATACGCCAAGAACGTATAAATATATTTCTGTCCGCATATACTTTAATTCATAAGACGAACGTATAACTAATGAAAAAAGATATAATTAATAATAGAGAGAAAAAAATTATTATTTCTATTTTTCTTATTATCTAGAACAACTTTTTATGACCTAATAAAAACTACGTTATTTCTGACTTATTCATAATTACTTTAAATTTATATGTGTTCTATAAAGGAAATTAAATCGTTAGGAATGTCCATAGAATACCATGCATCCATAGATATTTTGTAAACTTTACTAAGATTAATTTAATAGACCCAGAATGATGTTCTTTTTATCATCAATTTAAAAATAAAAAAAACATAAATAGAGCGGTGTTTAGAAGATGACTTTTAGGGCAATAGCCTCCTAAAGATAAATTCTAAGGGACGAATCTCAATAAAGAGTGAAACTTCTAAATATTGTCAACATACGGTCGACCAAAAAAAAATATTTTATTTCTAATATTGGTAGCTTATCATTATAAACATAAATTTTATTGACAAAAACAAACAAACAAATAAAACTTAAGATGACAAAAAAAAAAAATTAGGGGTGCCAAAACTCCTGTAACCACTCAAAGTCATAAATGCAGCCCTGTGTACAAGTTATTGGCATGTTTCAAGGTCTTGATGGTATTTTCCGGTAAATGGAGCAAATTCATTAGGTCACGTCTAATTTTATTTATTTGTTTTGACCTTTTGTCGTTAATCGCGTGTTTATGCTTAAAATACTTTACCTTCACCATATTTTCCACACCTAATGTCACATTAAAAACAGCTCAATATTAAAAAAGCTGAATAAACAACTTTTCAAATAAATGAAATTTTTAGTTTTTTCAGTGAACTTAAAGTCATTTTTTTATTTATTCTTACAGGAACTGTGATAAATGGAAACGAACCTTCCCAAGTGGAACACGTCGTATTGAAGAAAAAACCAAAATGCAGGTGCTGCGTGATACAATAATAAGTATCCCAACACACATTTTTTATTGATGTATTATAATAGCATATAATATAATGTAATCCAAAACGCATTAACTTATAAGCAAAGAATGCTGCGCCTTCAGCTATACGTTGTTCAAAAGATCGCCAGGTTTTGCGATTCAAAAATTATTTTCAGAGCTATATTATTATTATTATTATTAGATATTATGTTTGTACCTATATATTTGTATTTATAAGTATATATATTATATAACTTGATAAATTTGTATTGTAAAAATAATGACTTTTCTATATTATAAAAAAAAAAAAAAATGCCTGGAATTGAATAACATAAACAAATGTCACATAGTTCCTTTTTGTATAATTTATATATGTATATTTATATATATATATATAATTAACGAATAACTATTATAATGTTTATTACTTATAATATACATAAAAATATACTTAGTGTAATAGTATATACTTTAGCAAACTTTTGCTTGTGACATATTCATGTATTCGTGTGTACACTTGTACTATTTGGACAACTGTGGTTCGTAATGAATGGATGGAGCACATAGGAAATGTTTATTTCTAAGCAAATGTTTTCAAACAAAGTTAACGCACGCTCAAATGTTTCATTTTACGAATTCACACAAGGCAAATATATTTTTTCATTAACTAAAATCCCTACAATCTTTCTGTGATTATATTATATTTATTTATTTTTTTTTTTTTGTTATTTGTTTTGTATTTATATACTTTGTGAAATGTATTGATTAAGGGATTCAGTGAATTTAAAATTTATTGTATCATTTAAAATACGTTTGAAATTTGTAATTTAGATTTCTAATTTATTTACTAGTAAGTGTTTGATAATATTTAAATAAAAGTGATTCGTCTATTATCATTGTTTTAATAAATTTAATTATTAAAAATGTTAAAAAATTAATAATCGAGTCCTTCCTGACTTTTAAGTATAAAATGAGTGTAGTTGTGGTAAAGTGTGTTAGTCATTTTTCATTATTTTTTTAATATATTCCAAGTAATTTGCATTGAAAATTAATAGTAAAAATATGAAAATTCTTCACATTTTTTTTTTTAAATACTGTTATTTAAAAAACTAGTAAAACCAAGTAGCTATATACATTTTAGTTTAGAATTACAATTGAAACAATTCATTACAAACATTTCATTTTCAAATGATGTGTGTGAATTAAAATTAATATTGATGAGCTAACAAAACATAGAGAAACGAAAAAAGTTAAGAAATTTTTATAGTACTTACCTATTTAAATATGGATTTAACATTTTAAACATAGAAAAAATATTAACACTAATTATAATATATCAAAACCATAACACTGTATCATAATGAAAACAGGCTGCTATATTGCTGTGACGATTATGTTAAACAAACAGTCGGCCTATAGGAATCCCAGTGATTGATAACTGTAATAATAAATAATACTTTTTAGTATCACTTCATAAGGTGACGTTGAAAAAACATAATACATTGTATAATTCAAAACACACACGACTTCACAATTACGTTAACTCTGTGACACTTATTATATTATAAGCTTTTAAAAAGGAGAACATAGAATAAGCGTATATCATCGTAAACTGTTTAGAAAGTTATATATATTTTATGTAAAAAATTATTTTAGGAAGGAAAAACAATTTATCCCCTCCAATTTATATTGGTTAATTCTATGTATAACCCAAATAATGATTTCTGTCAGACCTACCTACTAGATTGAATTAGGATAATAATAGTTTTTAATAAAATACATTGAAACATTCTTATTTTTTTCAATTTTTAAATTGAAATTTTAGTACTGCGAAAAATTATGTTGTGCAACTTATTTTTATGTAAATTTTTTTGAAAATATTTTCTTAAATGTAACATTTTTGTATTTGCAATATTCATAAAGATAAATGTTTAAGACCAAATAATTCTATGGTTTCACAAAAAATTTAAATTAAATAGTTTTTATTAGTTAGACGTTGAACAATTAATGTATTAAAATAAAATCACGAAGTATAAATAAGAACCACCCAAATGGGGGGGTATATTGACTGAGCTGGAGTTTTCGGGGTTTTGGTCAATTAGTGAGCATTGAGGTTCTATTGGGATTGTAATGTCCGAGGGTTTAAAACAATAAAGACAAATAGATACAAAAAGAAATAGTAAATAGTTAAAGTTCCTCTTTATAGAGGTCATCATACAAGTATCATGTAATGTGATTATGCATATAGGGTACAAACTAATCAGTGACAATTAATTATAGTTCGAAAATTAATGTAAATATTAGGTCTACTGTTTTTTACTTAGATTTTAGCTTCGATGCGAAGCTGAGAAGGTATTGGTTTTACTAAGATGTGTTTTTTTTTTTTTGTGTCTGTTATCACTTTTTCTCAGCTCTCACCGAACCGATTTCTTTCAATGATACGTCAAAAGATCACAAATCGTATCTAGTCGAAGACATTACCCTCAAAAATTGAAAAAAATTCCCTCGTTCCCCGTAAATGGGGGAAACCTCCAAAAAAATTACGAATTTAAAAATCGCTAATTTTCGAAATTTTTTCAATTTTTTTTACTTAAAAGTGCCATAACTTTTTCAAAAATGAACATATCAATATAATTCTTTTTTATATAGATGTATAATATCATTATCTTTCATTTGGTATATTTTTTTCATAAATTTAACCCCCCTTAACCTGCCCACAAGGAAGGATTTAAAATGACAACTTTTTCACAAAAAATTAACTTTTTCAACTTAACTTTTGAAAATGTTTCGGAAGGTCTGACACTTTTATATATATCTTAAATTGAAGCTAATGCAATGTTCTTTATTATGCAAAAAAAAAATTTCAGACTTTAATTTATCTTCATGGTGAAAACAGACATCAAAGTTTATAAAAAAAATACGATTTTTGTAAAAAAATTCTTTTTTACAATTTTAACTTTATAATGCTATAACTTATTGAAAAGTGTATTGATCAATATAATTTTTTTATGGGAAATACTATTTTTTAATAATCTCTTTTT